AGAGTAGTTAGAAACTGTAAGGATATTAAGATGAATGAACTAAGTGTTAAAAGAAAATATAAAAAGCTCTATAACTAAAATTGTAAGAAAGTAGATATATAGACACTGCAAGTATTATAAAAAGAAGAGAATAACAATGAATGAAATATATATGTAAAATTGAATAGTAGCTAATCACTAAATCTCTTAAAAAAATTTTAAAAAATTTAAAATGATTATATATATAAATAAGTAGTAATAGATTTTATCTTTAATCTTTTATAAAATGAGGAATTAGCAATACAGTGATCTGAATCTTCATGAAGTACTAATTTTATTCTTCAGAAAGTGCTGATGCTGAAATATTAATTTTTAAGAAATGCTGATCTGTGCTAATTCTAAATGCTAAATTTTGAGCTGATGCTAATTCTCTGATAAATACTGATTCTAAAGTGCTCTAATAAGTAATATAAAGATAAATGCTTTAGTAAATGAGTGTGATAAGCAGTGTGAAGACAAAGAGCTAGTATAGAGAATCTTAATATCATAAAATAAATATTTTAAATTTTTAAAAAATTTTTAAAAAATTAATAATTAGTTATTATTTAATTTTATATTTATATTTTTTACTTAATATTTTCTCTTCTTTTTATAATACTTATAGTATTTATATTTTTACTTTTTTATAATCTTATCTATAGAGCTTTTTATATTTTTTTTTAATACTTAGTTTATTTACTTTAAATATTTTTATATATAAGCTGAGATTGAATATTTATTTAATTATTTTTATTATTTTTCAATTATTTATAAAGTTTTATAAAAGATTCAATCATATATAATATTATATAAAGCTTTATCAAGCTCTTAAAAAGTTTGAATCTGTTACTTTTTTTAATTTAATTCAAGCTTAGAAACTTGATTATAAAAAGTAAGCTGAATCACTTTTAAGTCTTAAAAAAATTAAATATTAACTTCTGTACGTATGATTTAGAAAGTGTATAAATTTTTTCAATTTAGAAAATAATTATATTTTCAATATGAGTTGACTTATTAACTTATATATTTGAAAAAGCAGTCATAATATATAGAGTTTAATATATAAAATTCAATATATAAAAAATAGAGGTTGAATATAATTATAAAATATAATATTTATCAATTAATTATGCCATTGTATAATTCACACCTTGTGTAAATGCATTACTTTAAAATGATAAAAATATTAAAATAATAAAAATTTTGTAATTTTATCATCTTTATCAATTAATAACTCATTATAATATCAAATAAAAATAAAAATATTGAAGATTATATTCAAAAAACTATTACTTATTATTAAAAAAATTCAAATTTCAAAATACTATCTCTGTCAGAAGAATTTAAGATTTTTATCAATGTCTCTGAGTGTATATTAATAGAAAAAATCTAAATACTATAAATATTCTAGTTAACAAGAGATTAAATGAAAGTTAGAAGAATGTGATTGAATAATAAGTCAAGCTGCTTGATGAAAAAAATTATTCTCTCATAACTGAACATATTAAAGATTTTGTGAATTCAATGCTCAGACATCAGCACTTAAATTCTACTACCTGTCCTTTAAAAGTTAGTAAGATATAAACTTATAGATTTATTAAATAACTATTTGAGTATAAGAGAATAAAACAGAAGTCAATGAATTCAAAGAAAGTAACAGTTAAAAATATTGAATATATTAATACATGATTTGAATGTCTTCAAATTCTATTTAAGCAGTATCAATTTCATGGCTGTGACATATATACTTTTAATAAAATTGAATTTTAAGAAGAATAAAAACATAGAGAATAAGTTATAACTACTTTTAAAGAAGTTAATTTATGATTTCTTTATTTTTTTTAAGAGATTTGATTATAGTCATTGAATCTGTATTCATGAATAATCATATCATTTTATCAATAATAATTTTGACCTTCAAAACACACTTGAAAAATTGATATATATAGATAGATTTACTCAGTGATTATAGAATTACTATATCAGATATTGAATTTATAAATGATGAGATTGAATTTGAATAACTCAAACATTTTAATACTACTATAAAAAAGAAATAGAAGAGAAGTCATCAATTACTTTTAATAAATAATTATAAATTGTATATCACTGAGAAGTTCATAAAATATATAAATCTTCATAATATAATTTTATATAAATTTTTATTATATGTTACTCATTTGCTACAATCTTGAAATTGTCTATCATTTTAGTAATATAAGTATTATCATTTAAAAGTAGTCAACTATGCTGCATATTATGATCTTATTAAATATAAAAAATAGTAATTTCTATAAAATCTTTTAACTATATAAAAGCAGATCTTTAAATCTGATATAATAGCTGCAAAATGAATTTAACATGATATATATTCATGAAATTCTAACTAAGTTCTTGATGCTCTTAAGCAGTGAATCTTATCATCTTCTACACTGCAAATTTATAAAAATAAAAATGATTTAAATCATATATCTATTTCTTCTTCTTAATTATTCTCATATAAAATAATTCAAAAGCTAAAATATTTTATTAATATTGTAAAAAATATCATATAAATTATTAGAAATAATCTTGAATTGAAATCACTTATTTTGACATATTATTTAAACAAGATATTTAAAAAATGTTTAATCTATATAAAATTCAATAAGCAACAAATTATTGAATTAGAGAACTTTCTCAACATCAGTAAATACTGCAAAGTTAAAACAACTCATCATTAGATTCAAGTAGAAAAAATTCTCGCTATTAAAAATGTCAATAGAAAAATCAAGCAATATAAGAATAATAAAGCTGAAAAAGAGCAGTATAAGAAATGATAAAAACTTGAAATTGATTTTATGAAAATTAATTATAACTTACTTACATCACTGATAGAAGAGGAATTAAATCAATTTAAAGATGACACACATACTGAGAATGATGTAGATAATCTTTTTATTATAGATTAGCTACTGATTGTTGATATAGAGTATAATAATGAGGATATAATTCAAGATTTTTATTGTTTTGATGTTTTTATCATTTTGATGTGGTGCACTCACATGAGGTGTGGGTTGCACAGCAGCATGATTACATAAGTCAGGTGTTAGAGGATTCCCCAGCTACTCAAGGTTACGTGCATCTATGTATTTATTAGTAGCTAGCTAGCTCACTTAGAGTCCCACAGAACAACAAGATGTGAAGAATAGATTGCTTGATTGATTATGTAGTGAGCTATGCAGAAGTTATATATGATGCAGATTATGTAAGAAGGTGAATAGGCCTGACACCCCCACTCACTAATGTAACTATACTTGAGATTACATACAAAAAATAGCCTGTAGCTAGGTATTAGTACATAATTTGACTGGAAAACTCATATTGTTGAAAAATCAGTCATTTTCTTCATATAATCATTTCTGCCTGCTTACTGCATCTTCTAATATCTGCTGCCATAGGGTGTATCTAGTCACCTCAAGTGGCTTGGTCAGCCTGTCTGCTGTGTTCTCAGCAGACAGAATGTAATCAATCAAGATCTCATTCTTGCAGACAAGATTCCAAAGAGTATGGAAGTGAACCTCTATATGCTTAGATTGATGTGAAATAGCCTCACTTTTAGTCAGTTCAATCACTGATTTATTATCTACTCAAATTGTATACACTAGTTTATTGACCAGTGATTTGATTAAGCTGTCATTATCATCAAAATTATTGAGCTGAGACAGCATGAAGCTAGCATCCTCCAGCAATTCCCAGAGGCAGACAAGCTCATAGGCAGTCTCTAAGAATGCAATATATTCAATCTCAGTAGATGATTTCAAAACATCTGTCTGCTTGCTGCTTTGTCAAGCAACAGGACCTTCTGTCATATAAATGACATATTCAGTGGTGAAGTAGGAGCCTGGATCACAGCCTGCTCAATCAGTATCAGCAAACACCACAGATTCTATATCCATGTCTTTTTGATAGGACACACCTATATTGGGTGTGCCTTGTAGATATCTAAGAATTTGCCTGAATGCTGCTCAATTCTTCAAGGTAGAGCAAGAGCTGAATCTCTCTAGGAAGCCAGTGGCAAAGCTTATATCAGAGTATGTGTTGGTAGTGAGATATTGCAGAGAGTCAACCTTTGATTGATAGAAATGTAATGTAAATTCCACTGTATAAGCAATTGATTCTTCATTTTCACTCATGAAATTAACATTCTCCTCTATAGGGGAGGATGTTGGGTAGCAGTTATTCATTGAGAATTCCTCAAGCAGGTTCTTTATGAACAGTGGCTGAGACAGTGATAAAGATTCAGCATTTCAATCAATCTTCATTCTCAAATACCAGTTTGATTTACTCATATTTTTGATCTCATAATTAATAGTGATCTGGACTTTTGTCCATTCAATATCTGATATATTCAGACTATATAGGTGAACATCATCTATGTAAATGGTTATATAGACCTTGCAGACATCATTTATGAAAAAACCAGCATCATAAGAACTGATACAGAAGCCTGTTTTCAATAGTATTTTTCACAGCTTCTTATATCATAGTAGTGCTGCTTGGTTCAGGCCATATAGTTTCTGCATCAATTTACATATCAGATCATCACATCCCTCACAGAATCTGGTAGGTTGATGCATATATATATATTCATTGACAGGAAGCCAGGCATTTAAGAACACTGTAACTATGTCAATCTGCAGAACATGCTATTCTCAAGATATCAAGATTGTTATAAGCACTTAAGAGGTAGAGGCTGATAGAACTGGTGTGAATGTCTTTGAATAGTTGACACTCTTTTCTTGATAATTGCTACAGACTACTCAGCAGACTTTATATTGTTCCATTCTACCTGCATTATTAATCTTTTTGTTGAACACCCATTGGCCATGTAGAATCATCATATCTGAGATCTTTTCAACTAGTCACCATGCACCAATCTGCTTGAGGTGATTAATCTTCTTAACACAGGCATGAAAGTAATATTTCCAATCTGCAGACACCTAAGCCCAGGTGAGGTTCTTTGAAACTAACAAGCTGGCAATCTCAGAGTCTGCAGGAATGTCAATCAAATTGTCAGTGAAATCCTTTACTGAGACCTCCCTCACTGAAGTAATATTCTCAGTAAGCATTGAAGAATCCTCTATCTCAAAAGCAGACCCTGGGAGAGCAGTAGTGTTCTGTATCAAAATGTTAGAATTCACACAGTAATCTCATAGTCTATCCATCAATTATTTGTAGAGTGTAAAAATACTGAAGGGGCAGATAGAAACTCTCTGTTCACTATGAAATTGTCTGTTGATAAATCATGTTGAGTGAAAAGAATTGCAACTGCAGCCATATGAGTAGCAGAAGATAGGTTCTTGGCACCTTACTTAGGCAAGGCCAGAGAATTCATCAAATGGAGGTCTTCTTGAAATATTATATCTTTCAATGTGTAAAGATGATCATTACAAGGATTGACCAATCTATAATTAGTAAAGCTATCATAGCCTGTAAATATAAGCTCCTGTGATCATGAGGCCATCTTCATATTCAGCTTGAGCACTATTTTTAAATAAGCCTTGCACCTTTATCAGTGAATTCCACATGCAGAGGACATGACCCTGAGCCAAGCTTCATATGAGATAACCACCTTCAGATCTGAATCCTCTACATTATTATAAAGCTTGACTGATATTGACATAAGATTAAGTATTTCAATCACCACAATTACCACCTCACTCCACATCTGAGTGAGGGAGGAGAAATCTATTAATAACATTCAGGCTTTTTTGATAATCAGGTCAATAGAACATTTGGACACATTATCTTGCTGCAGAGTGTGAGATGAAGTTGATTCTCATTTAATACTCTCACTCATCATATAGGCAGCTGCAGTATTTGAATTCAACTCACTGCAGTTAGAGTGGATAATCACAACATCACAATTGAGCAGATTCTTCATAAATTGATTGAAGATCTGTATATATTTTAGAGCCTCATTGTGACACTTCAATAGAAATGTCTACTGCATTTATGTGACATCATCAGTGATCATCATCATGAGCTTCTTACCTGTATAAGATGGTGTATCTTCTTCATTACCAAGCATTTCTCCACCTTTAAATAGGTTTACTCAGATCTTAAAACTTTTGCAGGTGGCACAGTGTAGTGAGGCATTTTTATAACTTGCACATTTATACTTGGCTTTAAAGCACATGGTGCAGAATGAGAGCTTCTTTGAGCTGATGATGGCAATTCCAAAACAGAGCTCCTGTGACATTTTAATTATATTCTTCTTATCAAATGGCCCAATTGCCAGTGCCACTCATCAATCAGTAGCTGCTTTGGTATAATGGCAGGTAGTCAGATTGATGAGAACAAAATGAAGGTATAAGTATTCAGATCCTTCAGGTTAATTAGCTGCTCCATGTTATTGCAGTTGAAAAGACCCAGTGATGCAGCATTTAGATCATAATCTGTTGATATCACCCTGGGCTTTGAGACTGCTAAGTATGCTAGTGATCCAAGCTCCAGATCATTTATAATACCTTTAAACATAGAGAAGATGTCAGATAGTACATATATATTATTGAAAATCAAATTTGCATAGAAGATGTCATTTCCTGTAGATGCTATTATCTCAAAGTAATTTCCAGTGTTTACCTGCAGATCATGGTGAATATAATCCTGGCACTTCAATAGGCCAGCAGATATGAGGTTGGTGGATAAGTCTGATATCAAATAGACATAGTTAAATTTGATTAATCATTCTCCAACTGGGATAGAGGTGATCTCAATTCCTTAAACCTTCAAAGTAGTCTTATTGGCCACTTGAATTGTAGGGCCACTAACCTCTGTTATTCAGGAAAATCATGATTGATCACTCACAATATGACATCCAGCCTCACTATCTCATATAATGAGTGGGTTGGTGATTGGTTCAGCAGAGTACACAAACACCCCAATGACCTGCACTAGATTCATCATTTGAAATATCTTAGAGCTGTCATTTGCAGTTGATAAGGTCTTTTTGCTCTCACTATTCTTCTTATTATTATATTTCTCTATTCTTGCTGTGTTGATAGTTCTTCATTCTTCAGAGATGCTATCTGAATTGGCTGCTCAGCAAAACCCACCATGATAATGCTCACATTCCAGACAGATTGAGAGATCAGAATTTGAACATTCACTCATTCAATAGTCTCTGTGTCCCCTGGTTCAGCCTCCACAGGTCAAATTATTTTGGATATTACTGCTATTATTGGAACCCACAGCTATGTTTTCAGCCTGAGTCATATTGGCCAAAGAATTAACTGCCTGGACAGTCTTCTTGACCTCTTTAGTGAGGTTCAATCAAGAGTGTATTTCCTCCATGATTGAATGAATGTCCAACATGACAGACTTTGATTTGAACTCTTGTACCTTCTCAATTTTCTTTTGCACATAGTTTCATCATATATTGAAAAGTGCAGAATAGAACATGTGAAATACCATGTCATTTGACAGTAAAATATTAAGTATTTTCAATTTCATAATAATGTCATTGAACTTATCAAAAAATATGTATACATCAGTGACTTGAACATCACTCATTGATGTAAATGTCAAAACTGCTTCCTTGCAGAGCTGTGTTCTTGAGATGAAGAACTTCTCCTCAACTGTGTCAAAGAGAATAATTGATCCTGCTCTTATCATACTTATTAAAATGAGGCCTAATGCTGGCTGCCAATATGTTTGAAATGAATGTGTAAAGTCAGCAATTTTTGGCCTCTCAAAAAGAAGCTCATTCAGAGTCTTTATCAGGGCTTTTGACTTGCTTGCCCTCTAATATAACCCAGCATTGAGTATCAATTAGCTTGGCCTTCATATTCACATGCCAAGAGAGATAATTCAAAGATCTGACCAGGGCATTCAGCTTGATAGCATACTTAGTATTCTGTTTGAACTGGCTGATCACCTTGCTGACACAGCTATCTAGATCATAGAGATTATATTGTATTCAGAATCTCAAGTTCAGATCTCATGCTGATGATTAATCTGTTGATGAATTTGCAGATATTGTGACCCTGTCATTCTGAGTGCAGAGTCTCTTCAATTGAAGTTGAAGCTGCAATTCTTTACATCTCTCTTTTTGAAGTTCTAAATCAATCTTTTGATATTCAAGATCCAATCTTCTCAGTTGTAATTCTTTAGAATTAGTTGCCAGTGATAAGTTAGAAGTCATCACAGACATCTCCACCTCATCTTCTGAAGGAGTTGAATTGACATATTTGACATGACATAGATGGACTGGCCTCATCATGATAGAGGCTGTAATCAGCCCAGCTTGTCAATCAGATGTTTCAGAGAGTTTAATTCTGAAACTCTTGAACACCTCTGGGGGGTTTGATGAGCTCAGAGCCCTCTGATCATTTTCAGATCAGTCAGATTAACTGAATTGACTCTATCATGATCATGAGTGAGTCATCATATGTTTCATCATGTTGTATTAATCTTCTTTATAACAGAGTAATCTTATTCAGTGAGATTCTTGTCTATAAGCTTGATTGAGCAGATTGACACATTCTTGTGTGATCAGTCACTGAAAAATTAGCAAGTTGCAGATTTTTCTTTCACCTGCTAAGCAAACAGATTGAACACAGAAAAAAAAAATAATATAAAAGTGTGTCAAATCAATCAATTAACATAAAATAAGACAATATTATATTGAATGAAGCAAGCAGTGATTAATATACACTATATTTGACAAGAATTCCCTGAATTGGCAGTTATTTGCGCAAAACGGGTCTCATAACCTGTGAAGGATAGATTGCTTGATTGATTATGTAGCAATTGCTAGCTACACAGAAGTTATAAACAGTGCAGATTACGTAAGAAGGCGGATAGGCCTGACACAAGGTTGACAACGGTCCTCTAAAAGATAAGGTGTGTGGGTTTGTTAGATGATGCCCCGGTACCTTAAGTCACGTGCACATACGTATTTAGTAGTCGTAGCTAGCTCGCTTAGAGTCCCACAGTGCAATAAGGTTGATATCGGTCCTCTTGGACTAACTAGCTAACTAAGTTAAGCATATTTAATGACTAAGCAAAAACACTGATGTAGCTCTATTTGGAGCCCTACCCGGGCAGACATGCCCAACGTAAGCTCCCAGATACTGGTTATCTAGATCACGTGAAACATGCGGAGCGTAACCACTGGTCAAATCATCAAAGGTTTCAAGCACGGAATAGTCATAGTCACGTGAGATTGTACTCTGACTACAATTACAAACCGACTTCAATTGGCTGACTGAAGAGGCGCCAGTTTTTGGCATGTTTGCTGAGCGTGAAGCATTGTGGATTGGATGACAACCAACATGCTCCTAAAAAACGGATTTGAGTGGAGCAATAAAGTGCCGATCGAAATTGAGCAAACAAACCAAACTATTCCCTGCAAACCAAGCTAGGATTTTGAGGGCGAACGAGCAAGCTCGAAGTTCTGAACACTAAATTCAAATGGATTTCACTGACGTTTGATTCCTCTGAGATAACATTTAAGCAAAAGCTTTTCAGTTCGGAATTCTCAAAATATTCCTTGTTCATATTCACAACAAGACATGTGTAATGAAAGCCTGTCTGTGAACCTTGAGCTCTCCAAATCATCGGCTCATTCTAACATTTGGGACAGCATCATGACAACGCAGAGAGCCTTACCAAGAGGCAACGAAGGTTAATTGAGGATGAAGAGCTCATGATATCTCAATTCGTCGATTCACTAGTGAATGATCTACTATTTACAGTCAAACACTAACCAGGACCATAACTCTCTTCTTAAAGAAAGTTGATTATAAGCAAGACGAAACTGATGAGACTTACCTCTACTACTGCACCCAGGTCAATTTCTCTGCACCGAATTAAGAGTGCGTTTGCGGAGATGGTGCGATAACCTTTCGAGACTGTTCTGTGAGGAATAGCATTCAATGATAGTGGAAAGATTTGTAGATTGTTGAAGGGACCCATAATTTTTAAGGTCGAAAGCATCATCATAGGTGTGGCGACTCTGTTGTTTAAGGGGTTCACTATCATGTTATTCTAAACAAACAAAAAAAAACAAAAAAGGGGGGGGAGCCACTTCATAAAAGCAATAGTCGTCTCTATTTTGCGTTTTGTCATGCCATATGCCGATTCAGATGCCGCAAATGCGTCTTTCATAGTAATGCCTTGAATTAAGCGGTAGTCATTGGTTTCCAATTACTCCATCTCGATGGTACCGGGGGGTTTGCTGGTGACTGTTTAGCGTAAACGAAAAAATGCTCAGCATTCAAGTTTGCAGTAGACGCATGACTCAAAAAAGGAGGAGAAAGAGGGAAAGCTTACTGTCGTAGACCACCCGGCATACGCCCTTAACTTCATTCACAATTCGCCTGCTAACCGTCTTCAAGAACTCGCCATCAAACGGATACCAGTCTGCAGTCATGAAATCAGTGGTCTCCACAGCCCGAAGAGCAATCACCTGGTCGTGAACCCGCTGGTCGCCCATCACGCCAACCGCCTTGACGGGGAGAAGTGCAGCAAAGGCCTGGCTAATTTTGCGGTATAGACCGGCTGCTTTGATCTCTTCGATGAAAATGTGATCAGCTTCCCGGACAACGCGGACTTGTTCCTGTATAACTATTAATATGATGGCTTTTGTTTCAGCAGGGTTTGTATAAGCAGTTACTCACAGGGGTGACCTCTCCAAGGATTCGGATGGCGATTCCAGGACCAGGGAATGGGTGGCGCCAGACAAGTTCCTCTGGAATACTGAGCTGTACACCCAGTTCACGGACTTCGTCCTTAAAAAGTTCGCGGAGGGGTTCGATAAGCTTCAGGTGCATGCCTTCCAGTAGACCGCCGACATTATGGTGGGTTTTTATAGTTGCGCTGGGCCCCTTGAATGAGATACTTTCAATAACATCAGGATACAAGGTACCCTGAAGAAGCCATTCAATCTCACCCTCGTTGGGTGATCCCTTAGCAGCAGCCGCGATCTTCTTAGCCTCTTCTTGGAAGACCTCGATAAATGTATTACCAATGACCTTCCGTTTCCTTTCAGGATCATCCTTGATGCCCTTCAGCTTGCCGAGGAACCGCTCACTGGCATCAACCACAGTTAAATTGACACCGAGATGCCTCGTCAATGTTTCCTTGACAATTGCCGCCTCGTTCAAGCGGAGGACCCCATTGTCAACGAGAACAGCATGGAAGCGATCGCCAATTGCTTCTTTCATGAGCTTTGCAGCAACTGTAGAATCAACACCTCCGCTGACAGCTCCAATAACCTGTCCCTTTTCCCCAACCAATTTTCTAATGCGCTCGATTTCTTGGCTAACGAATTCTCCCATCGTCCAGTTTTGTTGTGCTTTCGCGATTCTGACGGCGAAGTTTCGAAGAATATCCTTCCCCCGAGGGGTGTGTGTAAGCTCTGGGTGAAATTGGATGCCATAGAAAAGCTCCTCGACGTGTGCGATTCCGGCAAAAGGGGCGTTGGGTGTACTAGCAATTGTCACAAACTTCTCGGGGAGGTGCGACAGCTTATCTCCGTGCGACATCCAAACCACGAGATCTCCCTCTAGCCCTTCAAATAATTTATCGATGTGCGCAGCTTGTCCCAGGTGACGCTTTACAGTTAAATTCGCATGGCCGTACTCCCTCTTGTCGCCAGCTGAGACATTTTTGCCATAGTTCCAAGCAATCATTTGCAGCCCGTAACAGATCCCTAGCACAGGAACTCCAAGTTCAAACACAGCTGCAAATAGGGCGTGTCAGCTAGGGTCGAGTAGGTTAAATTCGCATACATATAGCCATATTAATGGCTCACCTGGGTCAACGTGCGGGGCGTCCGGCGCATACACGGAGTAGGGACTCCCAGACAAAATAACACCCTTTGGTTTCCATGACAGGTCGACAATTTTCTGAGTGCATGGGAGCATTTCAGAGTAAATGTTAAGCTCACGAAGCCTCCTCGTGATAAGATGGGAGTACTGGGAGCCAAAGTCTAGGACCCTGATCGGTTGATGGGAGGAATGATTAGAGCATACTTTCATGGGAGCGCATTGCATTGTTTGGGTTGCGGAACTTACAAAATCGTGTCGAAAACCATATGAGGCTCAACGACCGGAACACCAGATACTACAGCCATTATAGAATTATTTGCGGGGTAATCAGGAAAAATGTTGGCGGGATTGACTCCAAAGAAGAAAAGGAAAAGAAATTGTTTGTGAGACGAGGAGCGGAAATTTTATTATGATGAATGTGTAACTAGTTAAACGTGACTCACCACCCAACGAGCCAAACCACTCAATGAGCCGCGTTTAATTTCAACGCACTCATATTCTTCCACCTTCAACGCGTTCAAATGCCAGCCAATGAGGCTCAAATTAAGCTTGCAATATAGCATCACATCATCAAATATCTATATTTTTGATGAAAAAAAATTTTATAATTGATGTTGAGCAAGTATAAAACTAAGCTAATCGGTCTATATTTCGACCAGACCCTTTTTCGACCACCCTATCCAAAGCAACCCCCCCTTCCTATTTGGGTAAATATTTAACTACAAATTCAATCTAACTGCCATTCAAACATGCAGGCTTCCAGACCTGCTGCTAAAGCTGCTGCTGCTGCTTTTATAGCCTTAATTTCCAGCTCCTGTAGTTGTTTCCTAGGCTCTAGAGCAGCAGCTTCCTCTTGAGCCTTCTTAATCCTTTTTATATTGATAAACTGGGTATTTGGATCAACTTCCGCCTTCTTTTTGGTTTTTGACTGCCGTAGGGTCTCTGAAAGAAATCGCCTCTCTAATGGATGGCTCTGTATTGTTGGCACTGCCAGCACTGTCTGCAGTGATGTTTTTGGTGGGATTTTCGATTCTCGAGCCGTCATCCCTACACCAGCATAGAGGAGTATCAGGTCTGTGATGCTGAGGTTTATCTGGCCGAATCCACATGCGGCGACGACGGCCCTCGTTATCGCTTCCACCACTCACGTCTTCATCTGGAGCTGTAATTCTCACAGCTACACATAGCATATTAAACTCCTGTTTCCGATTAACCGACGTCCGGGCGAACACCTGCTTCCCCACAGGAGTATCGCTTGGCACACGAAACCCAAACGTCTGCTTTTCTGGATCCGTTCCGCCATCTCTGTACGGACAGTTACCCTCGAAGCTTTTTACGACCCTCCACGACTTCCCCTCATCGACGCTGAAGCCCACTTGGCACGATCCGCCATAGTGGTTGCCCGACCCGGTTAGGCTGAAGTTTTGCTCGGAACCAGCGGGCCAGGAGACAACTGGTTGGCCCTGCGTGGTGTTGAGATGGTTGAGGAAGCCTTTGCAAGGGAACGGAGTCTTGCTGCCGCAGCAATTGTAGGGATAGTCCAGGTAGGGGTACGGAGTCTCAGTGACATGTGGATTGTTGGCGGCAGCGAAAGGAGGCGGGAAGTAGAGTTGCATATGAGCCTGCACAATCGTGTCCTTGAGGATGGCGATTATTATGAAGATGTTGAGTAAAGGCTTCATTTTCCCCGGTGAACAGCTGCCTAGGAACTGGAAGCGATTTGAAAGTTTGATTTGAATGGAAAGGACACCAATGAGGAGAACAGCTTTGTATCGTTCATATTGGATATACGCTTGACTGCCCGCTTGAAGGATTGTTAAAAAGCAAGAGAGGGTATTGCAAAGATAGAGAAAGACAAAAGGTAATCCGATTATTAACACATCAAAGCAGTTGTTTATTGTTTTATGTTTCTATATGAGCAATTGCAGATAAACAATAAATTTTGCATCAATAAAACAGTCTCTGAAAACGCTGACTGAAGTGCTTATGGCCAACACCTTGGTGTAAGAGGGTGTACAATTATCCAATGATTTGAAATCTCTTAGAAAAACACACATATATGTACGTGTGATAAACGATTAAAGAAAACTGGAATCCTATCAAGAGCTCCATTCATTCTTCATAGACCATAAAATTATTGAGTATCTTGTAGATCTTCAAGCGTAAGAATTTATGCTTATGAGCGGGGTATCTCGGAGTGAATCTCATTGAGCATAACCAACCCTGTCTAAATTTCTCTGCTAATAAATTAAAAGCATCATTCTTTAAAACGATTTCTCACAGGAAGAGAAAGAGATCCCAACTATCCTTGCCCTTCCAACTTATCCTATCTCCCACCAAAATCCGGCTTGTACGTCTTGACACCGCCATCTTTCATCAACTCCCGCAAAGCCATAGTCGCATACTGGCTAGATCCTAGCTGTAATTTCAGAACCACCGCCAGCTTATCTGCAGTCTTGCCATCGACTGCTTCCGTTGCATCTGAGGGCTCTGCTATCTTCTCGCCACCATTCCTAGCCATCTTGAGCTTCTCAAGGTCGGTCTGCACAAATTGCTCATCATCGCCCGCATATGCCTTCACCTCAAACGAATAGTCCGGACCAGGTTTGCTAAGCAGTTTCCGATACCCGCCGCTCAAGCTGATATCTTTCCAGCTCCTTCGCATGTCAAACGGGTCCAGCTTGCCACCCCGCTTACTGCCCATAAATTCCTTGTAGAAGGTTTTCATCTCGTTGTCCGGGTAAAGGATATCGAATCCCGGCAATGGCAGGACAATATCAAAGATGCTATATTTGCCGCTCGCAGCCTCCTCGGCGGAGAGGGCACGAGCGAGCTCGAACATGTCCGCAGCGGGGGTGCTATCCCCCGCATCTGGAAGAATGACGACGTCGCCATCCGCATCAAATTCCTCGGCACCACCAGCAGCTCTGGCTCCTTCTTTTTCCTTAAAGTCGTTGACAAGAACAAGGTCGCCTGCGACAACCTTCTCGCCGTATAATCGCCAGCGCTCCCCGACTGCAAAGTTCCACACTAGCGATTGGTATGCATGGACATACATGAGACGGAGACTCCGAGGTATGGTGCCCAGCGCTCCAAAATAGTCATTCTTATGGCGACCCAGGTGTCTGATGATATTTGACTCAGCAGAGAATTTGCGAGGTAATTTATCGAGCGCCGCATTTATTTTACCTGTCGTTTGGAACGCGTGGATTGCCTCTGCGCGCGCAATGTCGTCGGCACTTATAAGTGTTTTGCTGGCCGGGGACTCTGACTGCAATTGTGATTGCGATGCAGACAGCGCCAGGGGGTTAAAATGCAATATACAGTCGCAGGCACCTTTGTAGTCTTCTTGAAGCATCTTCAACCCGATCGTATCAGTGCGGGTTGAGAAAGTCCCGAAACGCTGCAGGCCATAGTAATTGAAGTAACCTCTCTGGCGAAGGTCGTGAAGAGACTTGGACACAATGTCAGTGGCCCTTGCAACGGAATTGGCAACCTTTTCTTCCGGATCAAACGGGAACTGGCAGTCGCGAAGCGTAATGATAAATTCATTGCCGTTCAGGTCACCAAGTTCCAGACGATGCTGGTGGTACTCGAAATCGCCAACAGCAGCATTCCGCAGCGATTTACCCACGTTCAACAACCGGTCAGCGTAGATGCGGTATGCACTGGCCCGTTGGACCGTTACTCCGCGTCGATCCTTCGTCCCCGCAAAACCGAACTGTTTTGCGTTTATTTTCATCTGCCGAGCTATGAAACTTACCACTTCCATGGTATCCTTGTTCTCCTTGTAGATTGTGAAATGTAGATGTTCTCCGCCCAATTCATTCCAGCCCAGTCTCCCTTTTCTAGAATCGCCCCCCGCTCCTCCTCTGCCTCCTCTCCCCTGGGCACCTTTGCGCGATACGGGAATCGCAGTTATTACCATGGTGCCGTCATTATCCGTGGATGATTCCAGACGCGAGGCAAATATACGTCTGATGGCTTGATGGATTTTTGTGCGGATGTCTTTGTCTGTAATTACGCCGGACTTCACGCGACCCAGATCTCTTGCTTTTGCGATAGGCCGCGCAAGAGCGCGACTGTGCAGGGCAAAGATTTGCTGTGCGGTTTCGCAACCGAAATATTCTTCGAGCAGCCTGTTGTCCTCATCCGACATCTGTAATAGTGTCAGTCACCAAATATGAACAAACATATTTCTAGTAAGCATCCATACCTGGAAAGAGTGAGCCTCCGGAGTACCTTTCGAGGCACCTACTCCGGCGCCAGAGCTGGATTCCGCAACACCCATCGTGCCATTCTCCGTTCCTTTCGCAGTCTCCGAGTTTGTATTATTTTCAAGGGCATTGGGAGCAGGCATTGGGGGTTCAGAGAGGCCCGTGGCGGCCTTAAACGGCTGGGGCAGGTCGAGGTTTCCCAGGTGGAGAACCTTACCTGAAGGGAGGATTTCATTGACCAGGAAGTCAGTATATCTGGAGGGTAACAAGAAGAACTAATTAGTTGGCCGTAGTAACCCGATGTGATCCGATGTGATCCAACATATGTATGTTAATGTATATGTGTACCTTTTCTTCAAGATACCGGAAAAGCCAGGTAAATGAGGGCTGACAAAATGTGTGATGCCGACCTCCGCCTCCTTCAGCGCCTGCGCATTCTGGTTGTCCAATGCGGCGGGAGGTTCAATCACGGAGACGGGGCCAATTGAAGAATTTGACGAGTCCGCACCATTTGAGATCTTGACGCGCTTATGCGGGAATTGTTCTACGTCGGGGATTTCTCTCTCCATTGTTGCATTATGCAGATTGCGGCTGGCACACAGATGTTGCAAATGACATCTGCGACAACTGTGAGGGCTGCGAGATGGGAAGGGTCTTAGATATGGGACACGCGTGCTAGCCGTCAATATGGGTAAATGGAACCTCGATGAAGCCAGAGCACGGGGAACAATGTTCATGAACAAGGTTGGGTCCTTGATGGTTGAACCATGCCGAATATTCTACGGTCCGAAGTTTGCGGAGGTCAAAAAATATATGTTCTGATGCCAAGACATGGACAGCCAGCCCTAATTCCCTCTTTGGGAGGGAGACTTTCAATATCGGGGGAGGCAAATTAGGGAGGCGAGTTATAGTCTACGATATATCTATTGGACGGGATATTATCGAACTTTACCACTTCTTCTCCTCCTCCTCCTCCTCCTCCTCCTCCTCCTCCTCCTCCTTCTTCTTCTTCTTCTTCTTCTTCTCTCCTCAGGGCTCAATCCAGGAGGCTGTCAAATCATCACCACCACTGATTTCCCCGCGATCCATTCTGACCTTCTCACTTGAAAACCCAGTTTCTCATACAGGCCCAGCCCCTTGTCACTCGGCTCCAGCCCTACGGGAACATTCTCAGCCCTGGCTTGCTCAATACCCCAACTGGTCAACATCTTCCCTATCCCCCGTCGCTGGTAGTCGGGGTGCACTGCAAGAGTTGCCAGGTACCAGAGCTCAGGAACAGTTCAGAGGGAAAATTATCCTGTGTTGCTGGTATGTTCGTCTCTAATTTGGCCTTATCCAGGCTCTTGTCGGGGTTGAAGGTGTCGATGTCTTTCTTTTCAATGTTCTGGAGGCTTCTCTCCAACCCTGGTAGATGATGTTAGATAGTTATATGAAATAGATATCTTAACTTGTTTAAGGTGAAAAGGTATTGGGGGGGGGGGGGTCATCCTACAGCATCCAATAGTTTCATTCATTATTCCTCTTCCACTTCCTTGCAGCTGGGGAGGTCCCTTCCCGCACCCACGCAGCATATCCAACAACCTTGTCTCCACGTTCTTGGACTTGACCAGCGAGCCCCTCAATGTCATCAGGGGGATCCGCGACAGCAACATAAGTCACATATCCAGGTGTCGACAGTAGTATCTTCAGTCTCCGCACAAAACTAGCCCAGTAATTGTCATAGTACTCCATCCGTCTGGGAGAAAGATAATGCTAGACCTCATCGTCGAGCATAGCATCCGCCACGACAGAGGCGGCATCGGGGAGATCTGCTGCCAAGAGAGGACGAATATGCTTCGTTGAGATGAGGCCGTCAAGACCTCAGACAACAACCCAGAGTCCAGACGACCACAGAGCATGCAGTCTTGCTGCTTCAAAAAATCTGGTATTTCCTTTGGATAGGATGATGTTGCAGCTGAATCCGTTTCCATCATTTGTGCAATCTGCCAACCTGGCCCGAGGAGACTTCTGAGACTCTTTTTCTGACAGGGATGCAATACGTGCGCTCAATTGGTTCGTTAGTTAAATAACAGTTTGCAGGTTCGTAAACTGAGGAGAGAAGAGTGTAGAACAGTTCTCGATCATATATTCCATCTCCTGTGACGAGGATATGACGCGAATTGAGTCGGATATGGAGAAGCTATCCTCCGATTCACTTCTGATCTTTGTTCCATGTGGGATGTCGCATGTATGGAAATTATTAAGGTTGCTCCTATTCTTGCTGTGCGCGAAAATTTTAACCAACCAAACTTGGCTGAACTTAGCACCAGAAAACTGCTAAATTGTTAAAAACATGTCGATGTTCTCCCGCTCTAACACGTACTTCGACAACTCTCCACAATACTCACAATAACTTAATCAGGATTGGCATTATTAACATGCTCGGTAACTAACTAACGTAATTCCACACTGAGCGAGACACCCCAGCGAGCGAGACACCAAAACCACCATATCCCAACTAACTAGATTTTAACCCAAAATATCTACACCCACCCACCCCTAATCAAATTAATTAAATTACACTAGATTGAGGGCATCTTGTTCTCTTATGACCAGGTAAATTGCAGTTGCTGCACTGCTGTGATGCTCCTGAGTGTGGTCTAGGCCCAGAGACTGCAGGCTCAGAAGGTTGAATGACAGACTGTTCAACAAGTGCAGCAGATGGAATAATAAGATTCTGATCTTCCTGTCTAGTGAGACCTCCTGCATGTTGAATCTGACATCTAGATCTAGTCTGCTTTTGCTTCTTTATCTCATTCACATTGAATATATCCTGATATTGCTTCTTTAGAATAGTGATGCTGATCATTTCATATTCACAGGCCTTGATAATTTGATCAAAGTCTTCCACAAAGCCTTAAAACTGATCTTCCACTAAGTATTTGATCTTATTTGTCTGCTGGTGTAATTGCTGGGGATTACTAGGTGTTTGAAGCACTCAGAATGTGATTGAATTGCTAGAGCTGCTGCATGGAGGAGTAGAGGTTCAGAGTTGAATATCCAGCTGCTGGAGAACATAGTCAGATTGAAAGAGCACTATTTTAGTAGCTTTGAAGTCATTTTAAATAGTCTGCAGTTTGAAGACTTCAGTATATGCTGCAGGATAAGTCTCTAATAAATCTGTCTTTCAAATAGCATTAAATTCTAGTCACATTTGCTGTTGAACTAGACCCTCATATGCTCACTTTAAGACTGCAAAAATGCTCATATCTAGTGGCTGTAAGAGATGTGATGAATGAGATGACATGCAAAGACATATAATAGTATTATTCTTGTAGATTTGATTGAATTCTGAGGTAAAATGACTGCTGTGCTCATTCAGAATAAGAAGACTATGAGTGTCAACCCTGTGTGAATTTGCAGCAGGAATAAACAGTCTAGTAAGTCATTTGACTCCAATCTCATCTGTAGTCCAATCATTAGGGCTAACATCAAGTCTCCAGCCATCTGGGAGCCTGTCAAACCAGCCTTCCTGTAGAATCTGCCCTTTGAGAATGATGTATGAGAATAGAGCTCATTCTGATGCATTGACTGCCTCAATCACAGTCACCCATTTACAATTCCCAGGCTGTAGAAGCTTTGTCTGGTCATAGCACTCAGCACTAGTGATGATCTTAGTAGTGACACAGAGTCTCATGACAAAGTAAGTCTCATCAAAGTTGTATATATTCTCTGACAGAATCTCATGCTCAGCAATTGTATCCTTCAAGGTCTTAAATCAATCCTGTATAACCCTGATATCTTCACATTTGGCTCATTCATGATTATAGTGTCTGGAATAGCAGCTTTGAAGCTCTGTACAGTGTTTAATCAGTCTTGAAATCCAGTTCTTGCTGACCCAGGGGGAGAGGTGGTAGAGATGATGGAATTCCATAAGATAAGAAGATAATTAGCCATATCCTCAACAAATGCCAGCTGGGGAGGGAATCCTCATTTAACATGGTCCAGCACTCATTCAACTAGCCTATCCTCTTCAGTCTGAGTCAATTTGTGTGAATTTGAGTGTAAATTCACCTGTGCAGGTCTGCCACTCAGTCAATGACCAAGAGTAGAAGATGAAACATCAAATAGGTGTGCAGCTTCACAAATTGAGAGTTTTTCATCATTTTGAATAGATTTTATCATGAGTTCAAGCCTCCCCTCTCTCTCAATAGAATTTGAAGAATTTTTATTGTGAATTGGTGGCATAATTGCGTGTTGAAGTGGAAGGGTAGTTGAATTAGATGATATTTTGAAATGGTGTCTCGTTCGCTGGGGTGTCTCACTCAGTGTGGAATTACGTTAGTTAACTAGTTAGTTAGTTATTCGTATTAGCTTTGAAGAATCTTCTCCTTGCAATGTCCTAATCCGTTAAGCCGGGACTCCTTCATGCCAGTAACTTGCTCTTCGCTGTTGTTGCTGCGAAGGATTGACCGCCGTGATGATCGTTCCGCCGTCAAATCAACGGCAGTCCATTCAGCACCACCACGCTCCGACCTGTTTTTGCAGCTAGCGACATCCCGTCTTTCTCGCCAAACTTTGCTCTTTTCATGATCGAGCTCCGAGCCTGCCAAGCTCTTTGCCGAATGAATGCGCAACGTAAAACCAAGAAACCTTCTCTCCGAACAACCCAACACTTTATTGAGGATTCAACGGGCGTCCATGAATCCTAATGCAGTGTCTGAATGACCCCAAAGACCCTACCTTAATAGTTCTGCCAGACCCAATGATGATGAAACGATTGGTCATATGTATACCGCATGGCTTTTTCCCCTTCAATTTCGCCAATCAATCAATTCATTTCCGTCTGTTTCGTTAACACCTCCTGTTCGCTTTATTTTAATTAATAATAAAGTGGAAACTAACTAGTTGAGCCCAATGGCCCTGGCGGTGGGCCAGCCATGCGCCAATGTCTGTTGAACTCGACGGCATATGGATTGATTCATATATATATGGAGTGCTTGATGGTTAACAGTCGAACATGGTTTACAAGTTGAGCCCACTTTGTTAAATCCATAATCAACTGTCACTTCATCTAAAAGTTACACAGTTTTCATACTCTGAATCTTACATCACATATTTCTCATACATTTCTATTCAACCTCGCCGCCCTCGACACCAGGGTTAGGGGTATGTTAGGAGTAGGATTAGGAATTAGGAGTTAGGATTACGGTTAGTTAAGGATGATGCCTCTGCGATGATTTTCTTGTTGATTTGTGTAAAGGAATCAACCGATTATCGACTGTTTCTTTTATTCTTTAACTATATAATTTCATTTCATGTTCTTGTTTTAAGGGAAACCAAATCTTCTGAGTTATTTATATAACCCCCTTTTCCACTCCTCATTTTCGGTAATATTATAATTTGTACATTACAATTTATATGCTTTAAGGATAGGTTCTTGATGTCGAGTTCGCCAAGACAGTCTGCTTCACCCAGAAGGAGACTTGCTCAGATTGCTGCTCACACCATGGGCACCATAGATACCTCCCCCAAGTCATACAATGACTGGCCAAACCATCAAGGAGTAAGTTGCTTTGTTCCGAAACCATCCCGCCTTGTAGGGTGGTGCAGTGGGATCCACCATATGTCTATCACTAATAACCAGATCAGTTCAATTCCAGCTATGAAGAGAGGACTCCTGTTGAGCTCAAGGTGACCGGAGACATCCCTTCATGGACAGCAGGCGTCCTGTATCGCACTGGCACAGGACGCAGTGAGATAGAAACCGAGAAGAAGGAGATCTACAAAGTGGCCCACTGGTTTGATGGCTTAGCTGTGGTCCACCGATTCCAGATTCTGCCTCCAGATGCGGTCCACTCTTCAGTCCGCGTGTTCTACAATTCTAGAAGCTCCTGTGACGGACTAATAGAAAAAATCAGGAAAACTGGCTGCGCAAAGTCCATGTCATTCGGTGCGCGCTATGAACCTTGCACCAGCTACTTCCAGAAAGTCATGTCCTTATTTCGCCCCAGCCCACCCAGAACCCAGGCAGATCAGCAGTCTATGTCTATTACGGTCTCAGTCAATTTCCCGGGATTGGACCACACGGGCAAGAAGAAAAGCTCTGGACATGCCTCCGGTATTCAGACGCTAGCCAACAAGACTGACGCTGCAGCCTTTCAAACCCTGGACCCAGAGTCCCTGGAACCTATCGGAGTGGCTTCGCAGCAAGTCCTTCACCCAGACTTAAAGGGGCCCCTATCGGCCACCCACGCCAAATCAGACCCAGTCACAGGAGACGTCTACAACTTCAACCTCAAGCTAGGGCGAAACCCTATCTATCGTATCTTTACCGTGTCAGCTTCCACAGGTAAAACCTCCATTCTCGCAACCATTACCGATGCCCGCGCCGCCTACCTACACTCCATATTCCTAACAGAAAACTACGTCATACTCTGCGTATGGAACTCTTTCTACACCGTAGGCGGTTTGTCAATCATCTGGCACCGGAACATCATCGACGCCATCGCTGACTTCGACGACTCCAAACCTTCCACTTGGTACATCGTTGACCGGCGCCCCGTCGACAAGGGTGGCAGGGGGCTCGTGGCCACTTACAAAAGCGAACCCTTTTTCTGCTTCCACACCATCAATGCATATGAAGAGCCATCGTCCGATGGTAGCAGAGACACCGACATTGTTGCAGACCTAATCACCTACGGGAACCTCAACATCCTAAAGCGCTTCTACTTCTCTAATATCATCTCCACATCTCCTGACGCGGCGAAATACGCAGCAGGTGTCGACGACGCCAGCCGCCCCGTTTTCAAGCGTTTCCGGCTCCCATCACTCCCACCATCCTCACCAGATGCCCCAAATGTGAAAAACAGCACAAAATCCGCACGTGCAAAGCTAGAGTTCAAAGGTGAACTGGTCAACTCGCCCGAACTCCCGACTCTCAACCCTTACTACGTCACCCGCCGCCACCGCTACGTCTATGGGGTCACCGACACCGGCAAATCGACTTTTCTTGACGGACTTGTTAAGTTCGATATAGAAACGAAAAATGCCGTTCACTGGAGTGAATGGGGTCAGAATGCTGGAGAGCCGATTTTCGTCCCCAAGGAAAAAAAGCAAGTAGAAAGCGAAGGAGAAGGTGACGGTGAACTAGATGAAGATGACGGTGTGCTTCTTTCCGTTGTCCTCGATGGGCTAAAAGGGACGTCGTATTTACTTGTTCTTGACGCGAAGACCATGACTGAAGTTGGGAGGGCAGAGGTTGCGGGGCCGGTTGGGTTTGGGTTTCATGGCACTCATGTTCCTGTGACTGGCAGCGGTAGGGGATTGGATTTTTAGGCACTTGGGTATTTCTACCCCCTTCTCATGTTTAATTTTGGGTGTCGTTTTATTTTAAAGACGTTGGCCTATTGCGCCTCTGTACGTCATTTATATATGTATCTGTTTGGCGATTCTATGTATAAGATTACGCATACTTATCTAGGTGCACCGCAGTAATGAGGATCTATTTCGGTCACGTCTTTCTCTTGTTGCCATCATTTATCAGACCCGAGGATGAGAACTATGGATGGTGTGGGATGTCGTCTCTTTTTCCGTTTTGAAGAATCTTCTAATCTATGTCTATGATACTTGGGTGCATAATCCCTGATGAGCAGCTACCTATGCCTTTGTATCTTGTAAGCCGGGCATTTTTTGAGTGTACGTTTTGCCCACCTCACGTTGCAGTCACCGTTTATTTCAGGAATGCTACAGAAATGAAATTGGTTGACCAGTCAATAGTTAATGAATCTGAATACTGGAAGTCTCCGTGTCAAACTCCCTCGGTTTTCCAACGAAGGTTCACTTTCGCATTTCAAGTTCATAGAAAATAGATTGAAGCTATATTGAACGCTCCGTATAACACCTATCTATTCACATATCTAGACAACTAACATACACAAGATATCCAAGAGTCCCTTAGTTAAAAAGTGCGTAATTGTCCAACATCTAAGGATTCCCAACTGTAGATATCCGCGCTTTATGCGGCAGTAAATCTATAGATGAAATTCTTTGCATGCCAACCAAAAGTTGTTCCAAAGCAAATGACGATTATTTCAACCCTGTAATATTCAAACAGATTGCGGTGATAGAGTATGAACTGTACATATATATATATACATACAACCCTGCCATGGGTTCCTCTGAATTGAGTTTCGACTGGGTCTATCAGCTTAGCACCCCGAGAGTCGATGCAACATGGAAATAATGTCATATATAACAGGAAAGCGAAGACGGCAATCGATGAGAAAACGGGATAGATCTCAAGCGGACATCCTCTTTCCTATTGAAGGAACAATACGACATACCCGATCACCCTAGTCACCGACATAAGAAACCATCCCTTCAATTGGGGTGAGTGTCAAAGACTTTTCCTTTCGGTGTTGCCTGCTGAGGAGAACGCAACTCAACGCTTCACCCTCGTCTTCTTCCTCTCCGCTCTTTCGGTCTCTTTTTTCATCACCTTCCTTTTCCTAGCAGATGCAACGATGGCGGCGGCGGCAAGCAGCAGCAGCAGCAGCATCTGCCTCCTCCTCCCTCTTCCCCTCCCAAAGAGCCCTAATCCTCCTCACAGTTTCTCAGATCCTCTCCCTCGTGTCCCCCTTCCCCACCCCGGCCGTTAACAACGCCTCATAATCCGTATGCACATGCCTAACATGTGCATCAACGGCCAGCTGAACCCTAACCTTCTCACTTTGTACCGTGCCGCTCCTCCCCACGCGCCGTGAGTCCTACAGAAACGCGTGGCCCAGCACCGTCTCCAGTGTACCTGTAGGCATGGCGGGGAATTGAGAGCAGAGGTGAGTGCGGGCTTTCGAGATGTCTCGTGTGTCCTTTTGGGCGACGCCGTGGTGCGAACGGCAAGCGTGCTGGAGGCGGATTGGGAGGGGGCGTCGAGGTCGAGGGTGCGGCGGGTTTGGGGTTCTAGATATGGATTTTATTAGCGATTTAGCGTCATAAAAATTGGAATGGATGGCCACGAGTTGTGAATATGTTCGAACTTACGTAAACGGTATATACCATCTGTTTCGTCTCGTGTGAACGACTTCGACAATTGCGAGTTATTGTAGATGTCTCCCTTTGGCACGAAGACATAGCCTGGAGGAGGACCTTGGCGTCTGTTCGGATCTAAATATCAGAATCAAATTCAGGTTCCAATACTATGTGTCGAGCGTTTCAAACGAATTGGATTTAAAATGAACCTACATCTTCCAATGAAACATACCCTAGTTTTTCCTTGACAGCATTCTTTTCCTCTAAGGCTCTGCGAAGTTCGCGGGTTAGATTAGTTCTCAGACCTGGAGCATCTCTTTTCTCAGGCCTGGCTTTGAAACTCGTGTCTCCTTCCTAGATTGCTTCGATGTGGCTCTGTTGTTTCCCAGCTCTCGATTCTGGGATCGTGATGATGACGGGCTCTTTGGATTACCAGAAGCTTCCTCTGAGGCCATGCATGGTGAGAATAACGAGGGAGACTGATTGTGCAACATGTTACCATATGGAACCCCAAGTCAAGGGCAAGATAGGCCCTTTTCGTTTCTTTGTCCTTTTCGTGTTGGCTGTGTGTTTTCGTCCGTTGACAGTGAGTGTCGAGCGAAGCTGTAGGGGAGACGAAAGGGTGGTTTGGTGCTTTCAGCTAGATAAATGTGTGGTTTAGGACAGAGGGAAATCAGCAGGCAAGATTAGGGTTATCATTCCTAGGTAAACAACTAGTTACGAGAATCAAATCTACTCCTCGTTTGTTTTGCTTTTTCCTCATCCAGAATCTGGCACCCGAGGCGGGACAGATAAAAAAGGGGATGAGATGTGTGAATCATGTGATTGGCATCGATCATTTCAGTGTTTGGTGGATAGAATAACTATCACTGATGGACTCATATCATCAACTGAATTCTGACATGTAACTAAGCTATTCCCCAGCCTGAGATAATAACTAGTCATGGGGAGAAGGATAACAAGGTGGCATAGACGTAGTTACAGTGTTACTTTCGTTCTTTCAGGAGTCCTTCCTCATCCATATTATCCCATATTGCATAAATACCAAGGTGGTTCTGCATCCAGCCGCAACGAAAGGAGATGTTCTGCATTTCCGGGATGCATTGATTGCGGATATGAAAAAAGCTGTGCTTTTGGTTGGAGTGGCTCTCGCTTTCAACTCCCTCTTCGTAATCCATCAACCTTGTTGTTATTACGTACCAGACATGCTTGGTTAGGAAAAGTAGGGTTTTATCCCGGAGGAATCATATGGAGTGGTTCTTCAATTAAACCCTTCCCGAACGTTCACTTGGTGTCAGTGCGAAGGCGCGGAGCGGGAAGCATTCATTTCTTTCGTCCCTCCATCGAGAGAGTCATGGCAGTTATTAATGATGATTAACGTCGAAGGAAAAGGTTTTCTGGATGGATTGGGATTATCAATTTGTGATAGCACTGCCAAAGACAATGCAAGCCATTCCTAGTCGGGGTTTTGATGTCCTTAAATATAAATATTTAGTTAACTACTTACATGTCTGAAGCAAGACAAAGCCCAAGTAAAAAGAGTTACTAAGTTAGTTACCACCCAGAGTTCTCTCATATCTCTGCAATATTTAACTAACATGCTCCAATCACAATCACATTCCCCGAATAATAAGAATAGACAGCTCTAACACCTCCGGAACTCCGATCATCACATTGGAATGGACTCATCCGTCCATCACTTAGCAGCTCGGCAGAGAGCTTTTCTCCCTGCGGACCAATTGACAACGAGCCAAAGGCAGAGCAGGTATATGGGGCGTGGTATAAATAAGCACAGCTTCCCCAAATATGACGGTTGTTGACTCTGAGGCCAGCGGTCAAAGAGTCAATATGAAGATCATACACAACCGTTCACACGACAAGCGTCCCCGTTAAATAGCCAGAGTGAGCTTTGCTGAGCTTGGATGCGATGAGATTTAACTAATGCTCAATAATAATGGACGCTCGGGGTAGGTAGTTAGGGGAACCTGTCACTGTTGCTGTTCATGTCCTACAGTGTATTTAGGCTGTGTGTCTTTGGTATCTTGGGCTTGATAGATGGAATATTAGATACAGTCTGCCAGGACGGGAGCTCCCAATCACACCAGCATCACAGCTGTAGCAGCATTGATTGCCGGGAATACCAGCGATGTGAGTGGCCGAACTGTCCTCTCCCGGATAAGAGGCCCCTCACTGGAACTCATTTAACGACGGACTTTTATTATTTATGAATTATGGATCACTGGTGGGGTCATCGGCGAATCCGAGTTTCGCCCTATGGGCATGTGGAACTCGTGGGTAGTTTGAAAGGCGGGAAGGAGAATTTCAATATTGAGCGTACCTAGAGGCTAAATACAGCTGCAACCCCAGATAGGTCAGAAAAGTAAGTTAAATACAACAAGAGACGTTTGATTCTTCTGGATCTAATGATTGACCTTTCCTCCCCCGTATTCGCCATCACCCATAACTCTAACTTGATACAGCATTATTCCATGCATGCTTTGAAGGAAAATACAAGAAAAAATTAAAAAGAATGTTTTGAACGGAAATCTCATTAAAGAGACCCACCGGTTCAACCTAAAACTAGTACTCCTCAAGTTTAGAAGACCGTATCTGCAGATTGCTGGTCATATAACTTTCCAAGCCTGGGCTGAGCATTTGCGAGCGGCGGTTTTTTGGGGCCCAGATGCAATGGGCTGTGCTCGTGTGTCCAATTATAAGGCGTTACTGGGACAAAAGATCCAAGGAAAATCCTCCAACTCCTGCGCAGGACGAGATGAAGATCCATGGTAATTTTTTTGAGGCAAGATTTTTGCTTTCAGGCTGCAGTTCAGGAACGGTTTCGGTCTTGGGTTTCAACTTTTATAAACTCAAAGAACTCGGGTAGCAGTAGTATGATGTTTATGTGTAACTGCTGCCGAGTACAGGTTAGTTAAAGAGGGACCTTTAATAAAACTCTGCTTAATAACTTCGTACAAATATGTAACTAGCTGTCAAATCAATCTCAATGTCAGTCATCTCCCATGCTGCCGTGCGCAGTCACCGTTGAACGTCCCACTGGAGTCCTAGCAGTTGAGAAATGGGCAGAGGGTCTTTTTGTTTAAAGATAAGTATGCAATTTCCCTTTAGCAGTTTCTGTACCTGAACCTGTGCCTTGTTTTCAGGTTCAGCCCCATAATTTTTTGCTGATTACAACGGTTCAGTTGTGATCTGTTAGGCCAGTAAGTGGGTCTACTCTTGGAGTTAAAACCTTCGATATCATCATCATCATCATCTCTGGCTATAATTCCCTGTTTGCAAGCCGTTGGAAAGAATCAAGATATCCCTTCTTTTACCTAGGTAAGATAATAACTGCATACTCTATACTCTCCACCCCCCCCCAAAACAAAACACACACACACACACACACATGCTCTTTCTCTTCTATTTCTATTCCCAGCAATAATTGGGAGTGGGGTCAGTGGGTGGGAGAAGGGGGGAGGGGGAGGGAAGAAGGCAGCGGGTTCTTCTGTCTATCCGCACCAAGATGACCGCCCGGACTTTGGTTCGGGAATCTAGATCCCATGGCAATAGTCAGCAGGGGGGGGGGGGAGAAATAAGAAAGAAAGAAAGGTTAAAAAAGCCTATTCTCTTCGGATGCAGCCGCCGATTCATCGTATTATTTGCCGGAGCCGGGCAGCCAGGTGGAGGGTCTACATCTGCCACGGAACAGGGGACTGGAAGGGCATGTCTTGCGGCTAAGACGGAACTACGGGACAGATCAGGTATGTTTGTATGTTATCTTAGATTGTGAAGATATAACTAGAACAGAACAGAGCTTTTTGAAAGAAGAAACCATAGAAATGAGTGCATAATAACAGTAGGGAAATTTTCTTCGTTTCTTCGTCGTGTTTTTATTTATTTATTTTATTTTATTTTTCTTATTTGCCGTGCAGTCGTGAATCGTGGTCCGAATAGGAAATATCTAAATAAAGGAGAAAAGGGAAAAAAATTAAAAAAAAATTACAAAAATTAAGGCACAGAAAAGCCTAACTACCCGTAAAATGTAAGGAAATGGAGTTCATTAATTAAATGAGGAATTAATTTTAAGGAATTAAATAATCAATTAATCATAAATAATCCAAGCTGAAATTTGCTATTTCTTCCTATTTCTTCCTATTTCTCTCCGACCTCTCTTCTCTCTCAGTCCTCCCCTCTTCGTAATAACTACGGTCCTGTTCTGTTCCACCTTCAACATCAACTTCGCACTTTCGACTTTTAAATTTACAACTAATACAGTGTACGTTTACATCTGCGGCTCCAAGCTCCAAGCTACATCTCAATCCCCAATTCGAACCCCCCTCATTCAACAATTCAACAATTCAACAAATTGAGCTATCACAATAATCTCATCTCATAGGTGCTCTCTGTTCGGTGCCCACTGCTGCCTTGTGCTGTCCTGTCCAGCAACACCTGCAGCATCCCCCTGCTGCCTGCTGGTTCAAACATCCGATTTGCTTCCCCTCCACAGACACCGCTCCCCTTGAGCTCTAAGCAAGTCCGACGGCTAAGCTGAAAAACCAACCCGCTTTTCTCCCGCCCGCCATCTAATTTGCTACCCAGTGCTTAGCCTGTCTGTGGAACTACTTCATCATCAACATTATTTTCTTTTTAAGCATTAATTATCACTTCGCCTGTATCCACCGATTCTCCAGTTGGCACTGCACTATATTGTGTTATATCCATTGCATTGCAACTCCCATCGACAAGATAACAGGACAAGACACAACCTCTTCTTCGCTGGGATCTCCATTTGTTCGTTCTGGGTGCTTCTCTCTCTCTTTCTCTCCTCTCCCATGTTGGCTGCCAATCCTCCACTGATATGAGTTGGGACCGCCCAGTCCACAGGTAGGTCTAATCCGTTTTGATTTTATTTATATTCATATTTTTTCCACATTTTAGTTCTTGGAGAAAAGATACACCAACCAGGAGTCACATTGGGGTGTTTTCGGGAGATCTTGCTTGCTGCTTTACCCTCTCCGTCCCTGTTTTGTTATCCACCTATCAGACCCACAAAATGCATTCAATTGTCTATTTCATTGCCATGATAGATCCAGGACGGACGGCGTTACTTTACCGATTCATTTTTGCTTAATAATAGTTTTTATATAACTAACTATGACTGACCTTTGCTTGGATACGTATGCAGTTTTAAACACTCCAATGGCGAGCCTCAGACTCCTAAAACCCCGACTTCTGCGGGCTTTGGCGAGTCGGCCTTCCAAACCCCAAAGCTAGAGTCAAGTTTCTACGACCCTCGAGTCACTTGGAATACCGCAGACCCTTATGCTTCAAGCCCCGAATTTCTAAAAACCCCTCAACGATTCGGCTTGACCACCCCTTCTAACCACAAAAATGGTCCTCATGGCGTAACCAACCGGGATTCAACCCTCGACCCCTTTTCCTCCTCCTCGTTTGCACTGAATCTGTCCCCGCAGCTGGAACGGACTTCGATCTCTGGCAGGGCTAGGGCTGGTAACAAGACGAATGGCAGAACGAGCAAGGGCAGCAATAAGTCCGCGAAGAAACAAACAGCAGATCAGGGAAAAGGTGATGATAAGGACTCCACTGACTCCGAAAAAGGATCATCAGCGGCATCGATGCAAACCCCTCCCCCGACCAGCACTGGCAGGGTAAAGATGCAAGACAGAACCAACCCCGGGAATACCAATTCAGCTGCCGGAAATGTCAACTGCAACAACAGGAACAATGATCATCAGACTATGGAGGCACCTGACTCGAGTTATCTAGAGACTCCAAGCCGTGTTGTTGGGATGTCTGCTAACCTATTTGATGCTCAATCCCCTAACCTATTCCAGATGGCTGCTGCCTCCACGGACTCTCCGTTTTACCCCCAAAACCGGCTGTTTTGGGACCAGGATACACAGTTCCCAGCTGACTCGTTAGGTATGACTGACACATATGGAGATCCATTCGGTACCCCAACTCGTACCTCTGCTTTTGATGCATTTGACCAGAATCAGATGCACAATAATGACCTCCAGGTGCCCTCATTCCATACAATGCATGGCACTCCTGGGATGGAACCATTTAGTGATAGCCACGTTTACCATACGACAACAATGAGACCTCTAGACTCCAGTCTCTTTCCTACTGCGTTTTCGACATCCCCTCGTCTTGCTACTGTACGGGATGAGGATCCTGCGATGTTCTTGAGCTCTCCTGCACGGAGATTCGGGTTTTCAGAACCAAAAATGCCTCAAGATACACCTCCTAGAGCCGAGACCAGGCAACCGTATCATCACCAAACCGAGGAGTCCAAGCGTGAGAAACGATTGAAAGAGTTGAAACGGGCTAGAAGTTTGGCTCGTCGTAAAGCTGAGGCTGCCAATGAGGTTGTTGATGCCCTACGTCAGTCACGATCTTCACAACATCTCTCTAGACACGGTTCAATACATTCATCACTCCCGCATAGTCGCCATCCCAGCGGGCATTCATCCTTCGGTGCCAGTGTCGGTGCCGGCCCCTTCGACAGTGGCGTAAGAAAAACCCCTGCCAAAGGTCGTTTGTCGCCGTTAAAAAGTCACGCATCACCGTTTCCCCGCCCTTGTTCGGCTACTTTGTCAACTCCAGTTGAATCAGTTGTTTTAAAAATTGGCAAGGATGGGAGAGCCAAAACTGAAATGACGATCGAAACTGAGCCTCTCACAGGTTTTGGCCGTGGTCTAGGGGTGGATCTGGATGAATCATCCACTGAGAGTGAGACCGACTCTTCAGATGAATCAGATTTTCCAATCGCCTACAGTGCAAACACTTCTTTTAAAATACACCCCGATATTACTCCACGACGGCCTGGTGTTTCTCGTGCACGTTCGACCTCACGTCCCCATTCTAAAAGTTCATCCTACTCTTCTACCGTAGCTTCTCCACACTCGGGACGACATTCCCCTTGGGCAACCTCATCTCATGGGAGTGGAAGGCTTCCACAATTACATACTCAGCAAAACGGCTGGATAACATCTCGTACACACACCAACCCTGCAGGAGGCCACTCGCGCGACCAGTCTATAGCAGAGTCAGAGCTAACTCAAGCTGATGACGATATGGGTGACGCCCAACATGCACTCAAACAGGTATTGAAGAGCAGAAATAGGCAAGCAAGGCAACCGGCACCTCTCTACAGCCAAAGGACACGCTCTTCACAAGCTCTATCAACATTGAAATCATCTCCTCCAGGTTTTGGCGGAAATTTTGACTCCTGTCGAGAAGATATTAGCTCGCCTACAACCGTGACTGACCCGGACTTTGCGACTCCAACCGCTGAACGACAGAGTAATCCAAGCAATGGGACTAGATGTGTTTGTAATTCTATGGATAATGGTGGGCATTTGATGATTCAGTGGTGTGTGCTTTCCCCTTCGTTCGAGTTACTCTAATAAGTTTTGCCTACTAATATGCAAACCAGTGAATCCTGCACGCATTGGCTTCATACCAAATGTGTTGGCCTCGACCGACAGAGTCTACCACCTGTATACATTTGTATATATTGCAGTCAGACCCCTATGAGAGGTGGCCGCATTCGCGATCCCTTGGCTGGTAGTGAGCAAATGTCGACTTCCCCGCTGACCCATAAGTCATATCGATTCCGGTAGTTATTTTTCGATACCTACCATTATATATATCTCAACCAGATATATATCTGGCCGGCTTGGTTACACTACATGAAGTCACCATTATAGGAATCAATCATCATTATCGATTCTTAGCGATGATCCCAAATTCTACTCAACGCGTATTTAGCATACACAAACATCCAGACGATGAAAAATACCTTAGACAATCTGGGTTGTGGTTTCACCTCTTTTTAAAGCTCTTTTTTCTGCTTTTATATCATGCCCCCATACAATACACCCCAAATCCAATACCCCCTTCGCAGCAGTTTTTCCTTAGTCTCAAATATGGATGGAACCGGCTTAATTTTCCGAGAAAGATTCCGTTAGTCCTTTCTACCTGCACATATATACATTCTATAAGACATATTCACTTCTTTCCTTTCCTTTTTCCCCACTTAACTCTCACCTTAAGATTCATCCTGCAGTGCATAACCCTGACGAAAAAGCTCCGACACCTTAATATTTATTTTTCTTTATGTTTACTTCCCGCGTATGTTCTGCTTATATTAACAAGTACGCTTAGTTTTACCTCCTCGTTCTCGAGCAGGCACTGGTGTGGGATTAGTTCGTTAAGCCTTCTCCTTTTCTTTCTTTCTTTTTTTTTCCTTTTTTTTTCTGCTTCATTTTGTACTTTCTTTTAAAATATTGATGATGACTGGATGGATGACTGGACCGATGGATAAACAGTGTGCCGAGTACTACATAAGATATCACAATAAAGATTATTGTTTCTTGCTGAGTTTACTGTAATTTGAAAGGAATTTTGAGGTGTTTGAGGTGTTCCAGTCTGATGGAATCGTAGCTAGAATGGATGATACGGAATGACCTGCATCTCGGTTTTTAGGTGGTGTACGGAGTAACTAGTCAGTGGTTTACTCGCAAACGGACAGGTGTGAAATTTGTGATTTACCTGTGATATTGTCCCCAGATCAACCTAGACACTTAACTACGCCATATGGAAATTTTGTATGTATATCGTATGCTAGAAGTACAAGGCATGTATGTGACATGTATTCATTCATGCATTCTACACAACTCAAAATCCCCTCCACCCACGTACCTGCATAACCCCCTTTCCAACAGTTTTTTATCTTACTCAACCCCCCTTCCCTTCCCCTTCTCCGTCCCTTCAGCACCCCCATCATAACTACCACCAACCCACAACCCCGCCACCGTCTCCACCGCCCTCTCCAAAATCACCCGCACTCGATCCCTCAACACCGCATACGAACACTCCACCTCCAGCGTCTCCAACCACACCCGCGCCACATGCTTGTCAACCCGAATTTCCAGGCCCGGTACGGATATACCGAGGCTATGAAGCCGGTCGAGCTCTGCGCTTTCGAGCTCGTGGAGGTCTTCCGGTGATAGCTCGTCGGGGTATGTTGTGGTTGGTGTTGTAACTATGGGTGATGGGGCTTGGTTGGCTTTTCCATAGGGGGTTGATGTTGAGACTGCGCTAGCATCTGGGTCCGGCTTTTGAAGGGTTGGGGTGCCGTTGTTTTTGGCGACCGGGGGAGCGGGTGTTGGTGTCGGGGCGGCGAAGGAGTGTTTTATCTTTGGTTTCTCGATTGGTGAGATGTTTGGGCCGAATTGGGCTTCGAGCAGCATGCAGAGGCGCGCGAGGCGTTCTTCAGAGGTTAGGTTGGAGTGTGGATTTGGTAGACGTTGTGAGTGGTCATGGGAGTGTATGTGACGGTGTTGTTTGCTTGATCCTGAAAGTGGGATATACGGTGATTAGCGGACCGGTTTGTTTAGGAGCTATAGAAGGGGGATCATACGTTTTACTGAAGCCGGACTTGTCTCCACTGTTAACAGCACGGCCATGACGGCATCAGCAATCCCGTCATTCATCATATTTCCCTCCCATTCAACTTCTACCTCGCGAGCTCGCGGCCTGTAGCGGAGAGTGACACACCCCATAATGAGATATGCAAGTGGTTCGTCTGAGGGTATCTCTTCATCCGCTTCTTCCTCCTCCTTTTTTTCAACTTCATCGCCGTTGGTTTCCCCGCCATCTTTTTTGTAGTGATGGGCTTTGAGTTCTTCAATAGCCCCAAATGTCCCCTCCAACGCCCACCGAATCAAATCAATACTGGCAGTACTCAGTGTGATGTGTTGTTTGCAGGTGATAGTCGTCGTAGCCAGCCCAGCATACTCTCGAAGGTCCTCGGGAGCCATAAGTGATAGCTTGAACCCGTTTTGGACGAGAACACCATTCATAAGTCGCGATTCCGATTCATCAGCTGGCGGCGGCCTCTCAGCGAGCCGCCCTACGACTTTGGCCACTTTGTCGACTTGGAAGGGTATTCGGACTTCCTCGCAGTTTGCTGGTGTGAATACTTTGACCTTAATCTTTTTGTCTGCGTTCAGACTTAGAAGTTTGGATTTCAGGCGCATCATTTGGTGTTTTTCTCCATGAACCAAAATCTGTGGTAAGGGGTTAGAACTAAGCCACTGCTTTCAAATACCATACACCAGGGGTGGACTACTCACAACAACAGGAGCCCCAACTTCTTCGATGAATTCACGATTCTCAACGCCATCTACATGAGCTGCAAAACTTATCTCATCCACCGTGCATCGCCTTGGAATCATGACCTTTTGTTCTTCATCGCCTCCGGTCATTCGCCTTGCTGGACCCACCGCATTCTTACCGCTCATAACGGCTGGAATCTGCTCTGGCTCATTCAGGATCTGCTTACCCATAGTCCCCTCAACACTATATCCAGTCATGATGACGCCGTTGCGTTCGTTTGGCGCCCATCGTTCAAGAAGCTCCCGACTAGTGCCGGTTTGTAGCATACCAGGAGACGCAAGCATAACACACCCGCCAACATCATCGAAGCGCTCAATATTCTTCACACTACGCACGTAGCGAAAATTCCACGGCCCAGCAGTGGCACTATTGGCACCAGCAGCATCAGCCTCTGCCATGCGCTCGCGAAAGACACGCTTGATATTTTCGTTCATAGCTCCGATGTATGTCTGATAAACAATTATGCATTTACGCGCCATGTTTCCGATATAGTAGATGGGAATTTTCTGCAATTCCGGATGCCGGCTCCAGTATTCGTCGAGAATTAGTAGGAGTTCCTGAGCTCGTCCCAGGGCGAAAACCGGCATGAGAACCCTCCCGCCCCGATTGAGAATGGTGGTGATTGATTTCATGAGGGCCGCCTCCCGTTCTAGTCGAGGAGGGTTTGAAGATATGCCAAACGTTGATTCGGTGATGAGCACGTCAATCTTGATACCCTTGGGTACTTCTGCAGATATAAGATGCCTGTCTTCTTCACGGGAGTAGTCTCCCGTGAACAGGATGTTAAGTCCCGCAATTGAGATAACGAACATGGCTGCACCAAGAACATGGCCCGCAGGAAATGGAGTAATACGAATGCTGTTGATAGTATGGGTGGTGTTGAAATCGATGGCCTCGATCTGTGGCAGCGTCGAAAGGTGTTCTTCTTCGGTATAGAGCGTCGTTCGTTGATCAGAGGAAGAAGACGTATTGCTAACACGGACGTTGTCCTGAATCAACCATTTGTAGATAGCTTTTGTAGCATGTGTCATGAAAACCCGGCCCTTGAAATTAGTTTTGCTAAGCACGTAGGGCAGACCGGCCGAGTGATCCAAGTGGAAACTAGAAAGTTCAAAATATAGCACATGGGATTAGCTAGGTGTCCGGTATAGAGATATAGAAAATAAAGTAGAATACGAAGACAGGGAAACAGGAACGATAGGTGGGCGCTTATAGCTAAGATGGGAGCATATTCAAGAGAGATACACAGGAACAGTAACGGTATAATGAGGACAAAATATAATTTCATTTGATTTCTGATATACATATTCAGGGCGAAGGGAATGTAAGAGAAGGAAAGACCTGCGACAGGATAGGGCCTGCGCGAGTAATTACCCACCACAAACGGCAAAATTTCATCCTCACCATCCAGGATATCCCCGTGTCAAGATCAACATATGGAATAATTAAGGGAAAACTGTCGACCTACTGGCTTATAAGAAGGATGTCAACGCTGCTTAGGTCAAAATCGTCGAAGAACGGGAGAGCAGCGAAGCCTTCTTTTGCAGGGTGCATTCCAGCATCAAGCTATATGGCATCTTGTCAGCGTATTGTCGCGCGATTCAATGCGATATACAACTGACGGCGGAAACAAATTACCCACCATAACCGTCTTCCCCTTGTATTGAATGATATGACATGACCTCCCAACTTCATTTCCGCCTCCTAGATTGTAGAAAAGGAGCTCATCGGAAGGGTCCACAGGCTCCTCGCTGGCAGGGGCTTGGATGGCGGAGGCTTTCCGTTTCGTCGCCATGTTCTATATGTACGTATATTTGTCTAAACACGTCGCGACCGTGACTCTAGGAGAGTAGTATTGAATGGCCGGTATCAAAAAGTCCACGTCGCGTAGGATATGCATATATATATATGTATGTATGGACCTTGGGATCCCCCAGTCGCATGGAACACGACGCTTGGGTCTGTTAAGGCCTAACACAGCATTGATGTGTTGCTCAGGACAAGCAGAGGGACAGACACACTTTTGAACGAGGGTATTTTCCACAGTACCTAGTCCTCCTCCACGCGCAAGATCGTCCCTGTCAATACTGGTCTTCTTTGTCTTCTGAAGCTGCGTACCTTTTTGATCTTCGAAGTTTGTTCGACGAGAGAAAAGCTTGCCAATGCCAAGCTCATTACATCAGCAATTTCACGTGGCTCCAACATCTTGAACACTTCAACTTCAACGACAAAGTAATATATTGCATCTAGATATGCTATTATCTGCTGCAACTAGACTCCACTTCCACGTGTTGAGCAGTCTTCAGTGAAGTGGTCACTCTTCGGCAAACCCTATCTTCTGGTTCAGGCCCCGGCAGAATGACTCGGAGATGACCGCGTCTTCATTACATCTCTTGCTTGGGTGCATTGCTCCCTCTTTTCGTGTGCTCGTCTAGCGAGGCGATCTTTCACTATCGCCCGCGGGGTCAATATCCATTCACCTATAACACTCTACCCAGCCTCTGTTTAACCTCCACATTCACCATTCACCATGGCTCAAACACAGTCCCAGCAGTTCGCTTCGCAGAGTTTTACCCCGCCTGTTTCCACCCCCTCCCCAGGAGCCCCGTCTCCCGTCAGCGGAATCGCCCCTCCTTCAAAACGTCAACGTTTCTCGCCTTTGCCCCAGTCTCAGTCTCCTTACGAATCTCCCAGCTTTGGCACCCTACAGCCACCTCATACAGGAAGTTCAGTTAATGTCTCTTTTGCCAACGGCACCTCGACTCCCGCCATGAACGCGCCTCCTGTTCCAGGGTCTATGGGTCCCCCATCGAGACCAGTCGAGAAAGCCACCGATACAGCTGAACTGACCGATGTTCTGGCTTCATCTGGCATCGATGTTAGAGAGAGGAGAATATTTAACCCATGCATATGGACAGGCTCTGCGCTCCCCAGCAACCCCCCGCGTTACAGACAATTTCACACTCCTTCGTTACTCACCAATCAGCGGTACCGTTTCTGGCGGGAACTAGTTCG